GGTTCCCACTGTTTCAATTCCTTGGAATCGTTTGCCACTTTTAAAAACGATTCCCTTATCGATTCCAGTCGCCCCGAATGACGTCATCACGTTGAGTAGCGTCTTTTACCCAGTAGGAAACACGGCGCCTGAGCGGCACAAACGCTCAAAAGTTTGGTTACACTTTATGAGAAAGGATGACAACAGGGCAACGTGCAATACTTGCAAAGTAGAGATTTCATCAAAGGGAGGAAACACTACGAATATGCAAAAGCATTTGCTCAAAAAACACGCGATTGCTTTCAACGAATGTCGTGTTTTTGATCCGCTCCGGACTAGCGAAGCTCAACCCAGCAGCAGCGGTAGCGTTTCCACGTCCTCTCCCGTTAATACTGCAGGTAACTAATCAATTAGCATTGCATATTATGTTAGCGCGATTTACCTTATTACAAAACCTGCTATTACTGTGCGTTGCATTTAGATAACCATGATGAGAGAGACAGAGTCTGGCTCAGATGCTGGCAGTTCTCGCTGCAGTCTACCGGTAGCGTCTCCTTTCAGGCCAGGATAGACGAATGTCACCGAGCAGTGTCTAAGTTTGTGGTAAAAGGCTTGCACCCATTTGCCACAGCAGATGCCCCGATTTCACTTTGGTAAGTGAATGTGTTTAATTGTAGGCAGGGACATTACTGGATATTCTTGTGTAATTGCTACAGAATAATTTATGTTATACTTTGTTATTGCTACAGGAGAATATTTATTTTATTATTTTACATTTACAATTTTTTTCCTGGGGACCCTGTGACACCCCATTGAAGAGCCGTAGGCTGGATCTCTTAAGATCTCACTGTTGGGTTTGTAAGGCCATGTTACTCCTAAATTTCTATCTTGTTCAAAGAGAAGATATAAAACAAAGTTCTAAGCTAATCGACTTTAGTGTTCTCCTTTTTTAAAAAAAAAAAAGAATCGATAAAGGAATCGAATCGTTAAAATCTTATCAATACCCATCCTAACCCTACATACATCACTGCTGTTTAGTTTTCTGTCTTCATTTATGTTGGAAGTGATAGCAGAGCTGTACGTTTGAATTTTTCAGAAATCTCTCAGTCAGAACATGCTATATCATGTTTAGGTGGAAGCTAGCGAGCTAACTTCCTGCTAACTTGTAACTCCGTTAAATGTAATTCTGTTTTCATGGATGCCTGGATGTTAAACTTAAGTTACACCTGGTAAAGCAGCAATGCTGATCATTTTATTAAAGATGAAAGAATTTAGACAGTTTTTAACTCCAGTGATGCGCAGTGTTCGTTTGACTTTGGGACCTGAACGGACGGAGTTTAGGACCCAGATTACTCCGCGAGCTACCGGCAGCTCGTAGATGCTCCGACAATCCATCAAGCGGTGCGGCTTCGTAGCTTACAAAGTTACTAAAACATTTTTTGACAGATTTTTGAGCGCCATGTACCACATAAAATCGGTTTGAGAATTCATACATAAGACGCACTGTCGATTTTTGAGAAAATTAAAGGCTTTTAAGTGCGCTTTATAGTGTGGAAAATACAGTAGCTAACACTTGCGATCGCTGTTACCAAGCTTCATCCATACTGTATGGGTCACAAACAAACGAACATGTAGAAGATTCAACTTAGTTATAAAAAATAATTCATTATGGAGGTTTTGATTAACTGTGAAGACCACAATAATTTTTTGTACCAGACTGGAAAACTGTTTACCTCGACTGTAGGACTGTGCATTTCAACATTAAAGTCTATGTGGATCAGCTCACTGGAGTCAGCCTCAAGTGGCCTTTACAGGAGCTGTTATTTCTGCATTGGCTTTATTTGTCAACCACAAGGCGGACGCTTGTTTATGTAAACCACTGAATCAAATTTAAAGACAACTGCAGCCAATGACACTGTTCCTATGGATGCAAATAGCTTAAATTGACAAAGCATTAGAATACACACTCTGTCATCTTTTGAAGTTAAAAGTCCTTGAACTCAATAAATTGGTGAAAGCCATTCAAACCTGGCTGCTTTGGAGCACTGGAATCTCAACAAGTGATAAAGTGGGATTTGTCACATTATGCTTGATGTGCTCAGCCAGAATAGGCCTGAACAGTGAGGATAATTTCAGTTTTTACCCTTTTTTGTTGTATTTTTTTTTTTAAAGCTAAGGTAGGCAACATGTTTTTTGCACCATTAGACGAAAATCCATTAAAAGCTTTCAGCATATTGAAATGCAATTAGTCTGAGAGAGAAGCAGACCGTCGCACCTACTCTGGCCTGTTTTTAAGTAGGTGACAATGATATGAGACTATGACCAGATGGCATAATCGATGCTTTGTTCAGCGTGAGTCCGGATGGTCGACATCAGTCCATTACACAAATCAAAGCCCTAGATGTAGCTATAAAGAAATATGTATGCTTCAACAGATTTATATGTTTTTCGTTTTTCTTTGTATATGTGCTGTTCTTTCCAAAGATGCGCGACTGCAGAGCTGTGACTTTCTGTCCACATAACATCATCAGCATTTACAAACATTAAAAATAAGTGGAGAAAACGGATCTTTTAGATGAACAGACTCTGTCCTAACAGCGAGACATGAGTTTATATTGTGCCAAAGTGAGAGTCTAGGTCCATGTCCTTTAGTGATGGCAGGGGAGAACTCAGGGCTGGCCTCAGGTCTCCATGCCCCATCTGAAGGTGTAGTGAAGCTGTTGGCATTGTTGGATGTGTCCTCAGAGGATGTTGCCGATGCGTATCCTTGCACTGAGCTTCTTGCGCCCCCCTGGCCTCAGGGTGGGTCTCATGACAACAAGCAGTACGGTCCCACATCAAGCGCATCCAACACAGCAGCCTGTCTCTGCCTGTCTCACACCTCACTGTCTGTCCTCCTCTATCCCCAACCCCATCCCCTCCACCTGCTGCCTTCCAGGAGCTGTTACAGATAACCAGTTGCCTTCACCTGCAGAGACCTGTTATCGTTTAAACCTCATTTACACTCCCACATGGAATCCTGCTTTACAATTGCTTAAAATCTTTAAATTGATGAATTGAATCAAAATGTTTTCACCATTAAAATATTTAAATTACATGATGTTTTTTGGTAATGTGATGGATAGTCCTGTTACAGGTTTCACATTATTCCTCTGATCGATGGGGGACTGTACCACAAAATATTGTAAAGCTTCAACAAAAGCAATAAAAAGGCTTCATGCAGGTTACATGGATGCAATAAATGCAGGATTTTCTTTGGGTTTTTTCAGGAACTTTTTCAGGAACTCTGTGCACCACGAAGATATTTTAGAGTTTTAACAAGAACCAGCAAGAATAAACAAAAACTTATCCAAAAGAGTGCAAAACTGAGTTTCCATTAGCATATTGTTATGTTTGCCACACACTGGGAAACAGATCAGTTTGTATAGTGTTATTTTTTTCCTCATTGAGACAACAAATGCCTATTTGTGTTCTAATTATTGATGATTGTGTTTTGTGTTGTTGTTGCTTTTTTTATTGTGATGGGGTAATCATATTAGTCATAGAAACTGAACTGGAATAGAAATAAACGTCACTGCACACATGGGGAACAAAGGTACCTTCATGCTATGAAGCACAAACCTCTATATCAGCCTACTGCCAATATACAAGACAGAGACATAAACTAGCCAGAATTTCTTTCCATTTAATTTCAACAAATAAGAGAACAGTAAAACGCTCACATCTAAGAATAAAATTAATTTTTATCTAAGTTGTTTTTGTGTTGACCCAGACTGTCTCCTGATATTGTATCGTAAAAACTAGATGAAACCTTTACCTCTAAGGAACTTTTTTTAAAACCACCCTGAGAGCCAGTAATTAGCTCTAAGAATATTCACAAGTTATTTCCATTCAATGATTTTTTACTGTCCCCTTATTTTCTTCCTAATACATCGCACAACTACCAGCGGGACTGTTTGATAGATGTGTTGCATTGAAAAGGGACGCTGTGGTGTGAATACCTGAAATCCCCAAAAACTTGGGGAGCTGTGTGAAATGTAAACAAGAACAAAATGCAATGATTTGCAAACCTCATAAATCTGGATTTTATTCATGGTGAAACACAGAAAACAGGAAGAGGAATGATGTCCCCTTCTTGTCTGATATAGGACTGTAGATGCTCCGGTCCATGATGCGCCAGAAAGGTCTGGACTGCACTCAAGCTAGTTCAACACTGGACTCCCCTAGTATGAAGTCATGCTGTTGTTTTAGGTGTTTGTTTTTTTTAGGGATTTTTTCACCGTGTTTACTTCTTCGAAACTCTAAGATGCTCCTTTCATGCCCACTCATCTTACTCACTGTTTACCAGTTAACAAAATATTCCTCCAGCTGTTTCTTTTTAGTACCACTTACTTTTCCAGCCTTTTGTTGCCCGTCTCCCAACTTTTCTCAAAACATGTTTAAAATGAGCAAAAATATTTCATGGAATAAAATGAATAAAATGATGTTTAGACATCTTTGTGAGGACAGAACATTGGGATCAACAGTCACTTGTTGCAGCGGTCCCCAACCTTTTTGGCGCTACGGACCCGTTTATGTCCGACAATATTTTCACAGACAGGCCTTTAAGGTGTCGCAGATAAATACAACAAAATAAAACCAGTACCGGTACCAAAAAAAGAAGATTTATTCAAACGATATAAAACTAATGATAAAAACTGATTAAAACCCCTGAAAACCATGAATTTCACACCCGAGCCTCAACTCTCACAGCCCGGTACCAAACGACTCACGGACCGGTACCAGTCTGTGGACCAGGGGTTGGGACCGCTGGCTTCAAAATCCCCGTCCTCGTGAGTTTGAAGGCTTTTTTGAGGCTCAAAATGTGGTTTTAGTGTCAGGATTAGGTTATGGTCAGGTTTGGCACTCGTTTTTGATGGTTAGGGTGAGCAGCTAGGGAAAGCGTTATGCAAATGAGATGTCCTCACTGAGATATGAAAACAAGTGTGTGTGTGAACTGACTGAATCCTTCTCGTTTGCAGCAGAGGACATTTGCAGCCAGCCCTTTCTCTGATCCCTTCACGGTGAAGATCAGTGGGGTTATTCGACAACCACAAGAAGACCCAGAGATGCTGTGGGTGATGGGTCCGGTGCTGGCAGTCATTCTGATTATCATTATAGTCATCGCTATTTTACTCTTCAAAAGGTGAGTATGACACACGCAACAGCGGACACTGCGAGGACACACACTGGTTATTTTTGGAGTGACGCCTCCAACAGATGCAGAAAACATTATTCGTTGATCACATCAGACTCATAAAAATACTGAAAACATTTTTTTTTTTCACATTTTAATTTCTGTTAACATTTTCCTTCACAGGGCCTTTACTGCTTTGACTTCAGTGAATATTCAAGTAAAGACAAAGGTTCCTGTTTTGTTAAAATGCTAAATTATTAAATTAATGTAGTGGATCTATCAGTGACTGAATATGATTTTAATCAGTTTTAGTACATACCCTAATTTGCAATAGTAGGAAGGAAGAATTCCTTTTTAAGAGGAAATGATCGCAGCAGAACCAGGCGTAGGAAACAGCAGCTTTATGGAACGTGTCAGGGTAAAACGAGCGCACAGAGATAGCAACAGAACCCAAACTATGGAAGACAAAGGACGAAATGTAATGATATGCAATACAGTAGAAAAGAAATACTCAATACATGATGGGAAGTCCTCCATCGGGCTGAGCCTGTAGTGACATATCTAAGAGATCGTTCAAGATGACCTGATTCAGCCCTTATTTTCCTTTATTATCAAAAAGGAAAATTTTAAGTATGGTCTTAAAAGTGAAAAGGGTGTTTGTCTCCTGAACTCAAACTGGATCCACAGGAAGGATATCTGAAGCTCTGTCTCCCATCCTACTTTAAGGGAGTCTATGAACCACAAAGAAGCCTGCAGGCTGAGAGTGAAGGGCTTCACTGGGATAATATGAATATGAGGTTTTTAAGATTATATAGCACCAAGTCACAACAACAGTCACCTCAAGGTGCTTAATATTGCAACATAAAGACGCTATAGTAATACAGAGACTGGTTAGGGTTAGGGTTAGCAGCTAGGGGCCCTCCATGAACAGTGGGAAGGAAAAACTTCCTTTTAACAGGAAGAAACCCCTGATAGGACCAGGCTCAGTGAGGGGCGGGGCCATCTGCTGCGCTGGTTGAAGCTGAGGGGAGGGAGACAGGACAAAAGACACACTGTGGAAGAGAGACAGAGGTTAATAATAACTCATAATTAAATGGTTTATAAACAAATGGTGAGCGAAGGAGAAACGCTCAGTGCATCATGGGAAGCCTGTGGAGGCTGAATTCAGGGTCACTCGATCCAGCTTTAACTATAAGCTCTGTCAAAAAGCAAAGTAAATGAAGTAAATTAGTAAGACACCATTTCCTCTCCATCTTATGAGTAATCTGCTTTAAAGTTGGTATTTGAGAGTGAGACCATGGTGTCACATCACTGGGCGCTCTGATAGTTCAAGACTTTGAATGTGAGCAGAGGAGAAAAACTAGAAAGATCCATTTTTCTAGTTTTTCCTGAATTCTCTCACTGCAGCATTTTGGTGAAATAACAAAAACTGGAATACACTCACACCTAAATTACTTTTTCTAGTTACCAGTTTGTCATTTCAGTTAGCAGTTAGCAGTTTGTTCATATATATTTTTATAAACTTTATTTTAAAAAAAAAACGTTTACATGTCAAACTATCAGATGTAAAAAAAAAAAATTACACTTTTATTTCCTGAAATTAAGTAACAGAAGCATCAGGATACAGATCATTCTCTTTTGTCATCTGTTGTGAGAGACACAACATTTTTGGTAAACCTTGGAGGCGGTACATGCTCATTGTGTTCCTCCTCATATCATCGAGCTGAGTCCACAGAGAGACCTGAAGCATTTTCTTCAGCACAACAGATGACAAGAAGATTTTATTAGAACCGAGTGCCAGGAAACGGTCAGAGTGGAAGATTTTCTAGAATAGAGACAGACATTTGTCTTGTTTGAGCCGGCCTGAAGGCAAAGGTCCTCCATGGCATATGGGAGGGAGGTGCTGCGAGCTACCTCGCAGCCCTGCTCTTCAAGCCTGACAGTTGGCTCGTGCTTCCTGTTCTTGGGTCAAACATCTGGAGTTACTGACTGGGCTGACGAGGGCCTCCATATGGCTGCTGCGCTGCTCAGAGGCACAACTTGTTTTGTCTTTTTCCTCATTCTTCCTTTTGCTGTAGTCCAACGTCAAACAAAATCCCTTGTTTTTCCAAGATCTTTTTTTTTTAGTTAAGTAAAAAATACATACAAATATAAATATTGCCTGAGATTGTGAAGACTTGGTGACATTTTTAACTAATATTGACATATTCAGATATCTTAGAGTTACTAAGACCTTAAGTGCGTCTAATTAAGGGGTATTTTAGATTGTTGGGTGTGTTTTTACTGTAAGCCTCACATGATTCCATTTATTTTGAAAATCATGAAACTTGAATTAGGTCATTAGTCACAAGAAAAGTTTTCAACAGTTAGCTTATGTATACCAATATCGACTCATGCATGCTAAACTGAAATATAAAGAGGCTGCTTGGTATTGTTTCACTTACAAATTTTGTTGAGGGGAAAACTGATGCAAAAGTTGGAATTAATACCAACCATAGAAATGGATAGCCATGGGTTTATGACCCAGAAGTGACCAGAAGGTGCAGTGTTGTTATTAGCTTAGCCAGGAGGCTAGGTTAGCATGCTGCATTCATAGACTATACAGGTCCAATTCACAGCCATCGGCTAATTCATTCCAAATAAAAAAGAAAAGGACAGGATTTGTCTCACCAGCAGCACAAATACTGCAGATAGATGGACTGAGACGAAGCCTAGCAGCTACACCCTGCTGCGTCACCTTCCACCTATCAATAAACGCAGCCAACCCCTCATGTAGACTTTATGCTTTAACAAAATAAAAAACACAAATTCATCCACCACACGGCTGCTATGAAGAGGGGAAGTAGCTCCAGAGCAGTTTTTTGTAAACATGTTTATTTCTGCTGTAAGCTTCGACACTTTCACTCGGGAGTCTGTGACTCTTGGCTGGCTTTTAGAGCCAGTCTCCAATGACCATTAGAAGAACTTTGGTTTTTGGCCCTTTCAGCACTGTGGGTTGATGTTTAGAGGAGACGGCTGCTTCATCACGTTCCACAGACTGTGAAACCAGCCTTCCATTCAGGTTACAGTAATTTGTTCCAGGTTGCTCTGTGGAGATCATTAGAAATTTTAAAAACACTCTCTCTTTGTTCATGAACTACATCAGATTTTATTAGAAAATGAGATCAGGTCAAAGATGAGATGGAGTAGTTTGTGAGGTGAAGCAATGAACTCTGTCAGGTCCTCTGACGACTTGTAAATGAATCCTCTCTGTTTCTTCCTCCTTGTTAACTGTCTGCCTACTTTCTGTGGATGCAGCAAACAAGAAAGGTTAGTGCTCCTGTCTGTTTCCACCCTCCCATCCTCCAACCTCTCCTGCCTGTCCTTGCACATCGTGCATGCTGTGTAAACATGCTTTGTGGGTCAGACGTGTCTACATTTGCTGACAGTGATGATTTGAAGTGACAGATACTTGTTTTTGTTACACGTTCAAATCACACCCCCACGTCAGTGTCTCTGAGCTGTCTTCTTTTTGTTTGGTTTTCAGGCATATCGGCTTCAATTGACAGCCCCTCTAAGCATGTGTGTCTTCAGTGTCAGCGTGTGAGACTACATTTTAGCATGTTTGTCTCTTTGTGCGTCTGTTTTCTGCTCTTCAGCTCTGTGTCGAGTGTCGAGTTCACAAATCTGGCTGATCTTTCCCTCCAGAATAATTCTCCCTTCATGCTTTCTTCACCTCTCAGCCCCTCACACACCTGCAGAAGCAGCCTTCAAAACAAATTGTAGACATGGAAAAATCCAATCCTGATATCACCAAGAGGCAATAACTGACATCACAATGGCATTTCACTCTCCTGTTTGTGTTACCTGCAAAAAACATGCTGAGTACACACCTGTGAATATATGTGTCACGTATGCGTGGGCTGATTGATGATGTATGGGCTCCATTTACTTTCCACAGTCCCTAATTCAAAATGTATAAAATATATATAATATCCGTTTATCAAGAGATGTTTTAAATATAAGGACGTTCTGTTTCAAGGTGAAACACTCAGGTTTGCCTGCACTTCAACCCTAATGTAGTTATTACATTTAAGGAATGCAAATTAACGGTTCATTTAAAGGGGCTATAGCTGTTTGAGCTGAGCAGATGAATTTCAGTGTCATATTTCTGTTTTAAAGGAGTCATTTGCATTTCTCATTGTCTGTGTAGCAGCCGTGCAATGCAGTCTCGTATCGCCACATTTCCAGAGAGGGGGTGTTGGGTTGCCCACTCTTTATTTGCATAAAGTTTGGGTCGAGGCTACTTTATGCAAATCAGGTGTGTCTGAAAATCTTTGAAACAGGCAGCTGATGATCTTAAATCAGTGTTTGAAAAGTAAATGGAGAAAGCTTCTACTGTGCAGTTCAGTAGCATACTGTAAATATTAGGTCATACTTACACGTTTAATATTCCCAAGTACAACAGATACTTCACTAATGATAAAGCCCTGTTAAATAAATACCAACATGAGCCACTAACATTTGAACTGATTTCACTCATTTTGTTTGGAAAACTGTGTCATCAGAGAAGGGTCTGGATGTGACTCATCTGGACGTCTAAAGAGTTTAGAAGTGCTGAGAAATAAAAGATGCCCTTTCAACCAAATTGAGATATAACAGGATGTATTTTTCTGGCTCGCCACCTTTCGCTTTTTAATCAATTCTTAATGTTCTTTTGATGCTTGGTATGGCGCCTTCAGCGTCGTCTTTGAGCGTGGTCTTTGAGCGTCGTCTTTGAGCGTCGTCTTTGAGCGTCGTCTTTGAGCGTCGTCTTTGAGCGTCGTCTTTGAGTGGGTTTTAGCTGAAATTCTGTGCAACCCTGGAATCAGGAACCAAGACTGGACACATTGTTACCCATCGACAGATTTTATTCACGTATCCAGTCCAGGGTCAAGTGACTGAGTAAACCTGGTTTGTTTCAGGAATTATATTGTTACTGATTTTAAGTCTGTGTTTATTGTTTAGTAGAAACTTTTCTTGGGCCATAAAATAAAATTTAAAACAAATACATTAAAATTCCTATAAAATTGAAAAGTCAGAGCAAACCAGTTCAATATTGCAAATAGGAGGACACTGCTTGCAGCCAAAGTTTTAGTCCTCAGACATTCTACAACGCTTTTCATCATCTATAAAGTATGCTCAAATTACGTGTAATCCTTATTGTTTTTTGCACAATAGCTTGTTGCAGATTCTTTTTTCCCAGTATTTTCCAGAAAATAAAGTTTAGAAATTTGCTCATTCGGAGTCATTAATACCCATTTGGCCTGTTGGTACATTATGTAACGTTAAATTGGTTTTGCTTTTTCTCCAGGAAACGAACGTCTCCAGCCAAGGATGAGCACATGGCAGGAGTGAAGGACTCGCTGCTGGCCCACTCGTCAGATCCTGTGGAGATGAGGAGACTCAACTATCAGACACAAGGCATGGACACACAAACACATGCACATGCAAACATTCAGCCCCATAAACAGACTTTTACTGAGGTCTAAATTTTTACCAGTTGCATCCAGTTTCTGTTTCTAAAGGTGCTGAGAAATTATCACTGAAGGATTGTGTTACTGAATCCATTGACACCCAGAAATATAATGAAGGATCCTGTTTTTGAGGTGACAGGTGACAACTAACTGTCAGATTCAGTTTCTCAAGTATCAGTGTCACCTCAGTCATTTTTGGATGAGACTTACACGGTTTTAAAACTTGTGTTTTAGTGTCTGTGCAAGAACATGAAACAACTGCTTTAGAAAATATCTTCATTCATATTTGGCACTTTGTCTCCATGTTGTTGTTCTTTTCACGTCAGAAGTGATATTTTCATGAGAGGGTGGAGTCCTAAGTTAGCAAGTTTAGCAACGTGATTTTCGAGATTTTTTTTTTTAGTTCAGTTTAATTTCATCAGTTAAGTTTTACTTACATAGAGCCAAATCACAACAACAGTTGTCTTAAGGCGCTTCATATTTTAGGTAAAGACACAATCCCAACAATCAGACGAGCCCCTATGAGCAAGCACTTAGCGACTGTGGGAGGGAAAAGGCTCTTTTAACAGGAAGAAACCTCGGGCAGAACCAGGCTCAGGCTGGTTGGGGGTGAAATTTTAAGAATGCCTTGCTCAGACACAGACTGACTGACTTTGCATTCATTCCTGTAATGAATGCAACGTAACAAATAAATCACATTTCTTGGACAGTCAGTTAATCTAACCATTTTGTTTATCACATACTTTAATTAAAAATGTGCCATCACCACACACACTGTCAGGAGGGCCATATATTAGCATGAATTTAAACATCTAGTGCTAATTATTGATGCAAAACTGACTCCCACTCATGTTTGTCACAGTGATTTCATTCACTGCCTCCTATTCCCTTACTCCGTTGCTTTGAAAACGTGGCGTTAAAACAAAGTGTGTGTGAGACATCATACTTCTGCATTTTGTTAACTTCATTATCGTGCTGTTAAAGCCTGGGTGGCATATTGTTTCTGGTGCAGCCGTGTCTCCTAATGCATGTTTTTGGAGGCAGGAAGTCCGTCTATAACTAAACAGTTTTCAGCTGGCTTAGTCTGATGTTTATTTCTGAGAAAAATGTCTGATTTCCATCCATAATTTTCATGTGAAAAAGCATGTAAACACTCTAAGGTTGTGTGCATCGGGACATAATAAAACCAAATCACCTGATCTGTACCAGGTTCTAAAATTAGATAAGTACACTGCTGGTCAAAAGTTTCAGAAAACCCCACTTTTTCCTGTTTTTATTGAAAATTATGCCGTTTATTGTCTCATTGCACTTTGAAATGAAAGTATAGTACAAATAAACAATTGGAAGCAAGAAATCTTGGAATCAATTTATAGACTGTGGTGGGGCGTGGTCTGCGATGCCGTGCAGGGAGGGCGGACGCACCTGCACGGCATCCGTAATCACGCCCGCCGAGTTAAAACACGGGGACTCAGGTGTGTGTGGTGTTGTTTCGTGGTGACAGTGTAAATAAAATGGCTCTGCATGTTGATCTTTGGTCCCGCCGTGCCTTAGGCTGTGTTCACACTGCAGGCGAAAGCGCATCAAATCCGACTTTTTTGACCCTGTGCGACTCATATCCCATCATGGTGTGACAGTGTGAACGGCACAAATCCGATCTGCGTCACTTTCGTATGTGGTGCTGAATCCGATACATATCTGATGTTTCAGAAAGTGACCGCTGTTTGATGGTCACGTCGCATTAAATCCGTCTTTTACGTCACCGACACAAGACAGACGCCAATTATCAGCGCCGGAGAAGACATCGCGAACGCTTCCTGGCCATCCTGATGTCAGCGAAACTGTTGGGAAGACAACGTTGGAGAAACGTGAACATTTTCTTTGTTCTGTATAATCTGCAGATTCTGACAGAAATCTGCAGCTATCCTTTGAAGCAGCGCTCCTCTCAAACAGCAACAAGGATCATTATTAGGCCAAATGTAAAAAACACAATTACTTTATAATAAAGCAAAAATTGGGAAACGTAAAGTCTTTACATTAAGGGCCATCAGTCAAACAATACTGTTGGTCTGGGTCTAAACAGAGCGTGTTGTGTGTGACAGCTTTTGCACTAGAGCGCGTTTGCTGTCGCATTTTATTTGTAGTGTGAACGAGCAGACAAAAAAAATCGGATTTGATCAAAAAATCTGACTTGAGCTTTAAGACCTGCAGAGTGAACGCAGCCTTATTGTCACCACATAGACCAAAATGTATTCTCCGCTTTGACTCATCACAGTCGCCTCCTTCGGCTGATAACAGCTGAACACACTTGTGTCATTCTTTCTACAATAGAAATCAAAGTTGTTCCCGTATCTGTTGCAGAAGTTGCCATAAATGTGTGGCACACTGCTTTTATTTTAATCCAGAACACCTGCAGAAATCAGTAACACCACCGTTACTGCAGAACAGCTTTAAAGTGTTCACCCGTTTTGTGTTCCCTGAAAAAAGGACTTTTTGTATGATTGTGAAACACACACTCTTTTTCATTTTGCTGTAACCTTTTAACCTCTGGCGGTTCATCTCTTGCCTTTTGTACTGTTTCAATCCATTGGACTTGAACAACTTGAATTGCAGTAAAACTGGAAAAATGGAGGTGTTCAAGCTTTTCACTGGCAGTGTATAACATGTGATATTTTAAACACATCATTACTAATTCGTCAGAGACAAATGCAGAAGCGCTGTATGAATAAAATACATATTTACAGTGTCCATGGAAAGAGGTGAGAGTGGCAGCCAGGTTCTACTAATTAACTGCACTTGATGAGCAAGTGTATAAAAGCAGAGGTTTTGACAGTTTTCTGGTCCGGAGCATTCAGGTGTGTTGACACAAAATGCAAAGATGACAGAATAAAGACATCAGCAGTGATTTCAGGGAAATCTTGTTGTTGCCCATCAATCTGGAAAGGGATATGAAACCATTTCCAAATGATTTAAAGTCATTCTGCAGTTACAAAGATTATTGTCAAATGGAGAAACATTCAAAATAGTCACCAGTCTTCCCAGTATGTGCAAGTCTCAATTTCACCACAAGGTCAAACTGTGCAATCTGCAAAAAATGCAAATGCTTCGTCTTCTGGTCTACAGGACTCGGTAAGCACGTCAAATGTTAAAGTTCAGTTCATTTTTATTTCAAACATATACAGTCACCAACATTTCATAATATTTTTGGGACATGGACACCTTGAAGTCATTATGTCAGACATGATCTCTTCTATCTAATTTGAGAGCGTCTGTCCAACAGCTACAGGAAGCCTTGGATGAAAATGGCCCACAGAAGAAAGGGAATAATAACAAGAGCACCAGCAAATCTGTTAGGAGAAAAGAAAATAACCAAGGTGTCGCAGCCCAGACCTCAACCTGAATGAAGTATAAAATCTTCAGAAAGCTTTGCCTTGGCTTAGTTTTTGTTGAATAAGAATGATGCTAAATTTTTAAGTTATGGCCTGATGCATGAAACCTTAGATTTTCTTTCCATATGATTGTGCAATCAAAGACTAAATTTACCATGAAAGCAATTAGAGTGAGATATTTCTATTCAGGTGTTCAAAAGAGAAATCGAATGTCTTCACATCCAGTGATCGTTGAGCTGTCCATTCACCCTGACCTCCTAGCGAGGACTTTGTCCCAGTAACTTAGTAACCCTTTATTCCCATAAGAATTACTTATAAACAATTAGTTTTTATATTTTTAGTCTGCATGCATACTGTAGCTCTGTTTTTCTGTTTTATCGTCTCTTTGTGTCCTCATTCATTCTCCCATCTGACTGTTTAACTGATTTTTAGCTTTGTTTTTCATCTGTTCTACGCCTCCCAGCATCTTCTCTTATCCTTTTCTCCCACCTGTCTTTCAGTGGGAAGTTTTAAGCATAAAGTATGTCATTGTTTTTTTTGTCCACGTTCTTCTCTCTTGAGATGGGTGGCATTTACCTGTGGTGGCAGCAGCAGGAGGGATTTTGGCTGATGTTGTTTACTCGAGCATAAATTCATCAGCTCACTTGACAACCTCTGCACGCTGGGTGGCCTCGACGTTACTCATAACAAAACACTGGAAAAAATGACAGATGATATCATGATAATGAAGTCAAACTGTGATCTCTTTTTTTTTTTCAATAAAATGGAAACGCTCCACAACTTTTAGTTGTCAGTTCGGGTGACCGGGGCCATTTTGCTTTTGTAGAATTTCCAGGTTCATATCAGGTAACAGAATTAAACTATGAAAATCTTCATTTCCCTCTTTAATATAATGTGTATACAACAGGATTTTCATGATAATGTTAAAAAAAAAACAAGTAATGATATAAATTTATTTAAACTTCCTTGTGTATCAAAAACTTCACACAGCTTTTTCATTTTATTTTCTACTTCCATCATGGACTTCCTTATATCACTCTACAGACAAGGCCATCAGGTGAACTAAATCAATAAAATACAAATGCAGCCACAGAGATAAACCGCAGTTTTTGGGTTGGTGTCCAAACTACTGACTCGTGCTGTATAATCCTTGTTTTTTCTCTAGAGGTTTTTCCAGTTTAAATATTTGTCATTTAGTTCCATTTATGTCTGTCTAGCAGGGCAGTAAGCCTCATGTGCACCTTCTAAATGAATTGCAGTGGAATTAATGGACAATTTGATCCAGTATGAGTCGCTGGGTGTTGTCCCTCAGTAGTTTTCAATTAGTTAACCAATCAGAAGAAAGTAGGCTTTCTGAAACGGGAACAGGGCTTGAAGAGACAGGAGCTAAAGCAGGTTAAAGAACCCAATGCAGACAGACTGATTAACAGAAGGCCACTCAATGAAGCTGACGCAGAGTTTAAAGACAATATGATCCAAACAAGCTCACGAGATCACAGAAGGAAATGCATGAAAGACTGAGGCAAAGATAGAACTATATATACACATGGAGTGATTAAGGGATTGGAGACAGTTGGGACAGAGGTGCAGACGATCAAAACAGTGAGACGGGGAAAGTACAAATAAACACAAAGCAGTACAACAGGAGCTAACTCGGTGGATGACCGCGATACACAAGCTGTGCTGAACAAAGGCAACTGTGAGGAAACTAAACTCAAATAACAGAGAACAGTAACTAAACACTAGCTACAATTCAAACACAACAAGAGATACACAAGGGTGCAAAAAGTTCACAACTTTAAAGAAATAAACAAAAAGTTACAATGAAACCAAACAGGAAACACAGAAACAACTCAAAGCTTCAAAGAATACATAAACAAACATGATACACAAGGGATGATAACGTAGTAACTACTAAACATGAATGAATGCAAAACACAAGGAAACACAAAACTGACTCTGCAGAAGCCACAGATTTAAAAATTGTTATAATAGTTTTATCAATGAAGGGAAATCATTCACACAGGAATACACTAACACAAAAGACCAACAATGCTTTGTGTGCTTATGTTCGTTCGTCTGGTCATGATCTCGAACTCTGAGCATGTTACTACTTCAGCTTGAGCTAATTATTTTTGCCCTGCTTGTGAAACAATCAGGGCTGAAGGCGCACTCAGACACGAGCTGGTACTCACTGCTTCTGCTCCCTTCTGAGATAATGGCAGCCAAACTCGCTGTAACTTCCCACCAAGGCTCATTCTGGGACATCTGTGGCAACCGAAGAAAGCGCAGAGCAAAATAAGGAAACACGAGTCTGTATCTGAAAAAGAAAATCGCTTCTTCAGCACCAAACACATCACCATAAAAGTCTTGTTGGAACAACATCAAGTTTTAGTGTTTCTATTAAGCATTCACATATACAGAATTCACATATAGTGACGAGTTAATAAAATTGTTACATGTTACTAATGATTGCCTCTATCTTATGCTACACGCTGCTATTTTGGTTACAGTATGGATGAGATTGGAGTAGATGAGGATGCAGAGGCGCTGGATCAAAGTTCCAAAAACGCTCCAAACTTTTAGTGTTTTTGCTTCTGTTGCAACCTGACGTCTTTGCAACACGTAGCTTAAATGGACACTCTTGGACAACTGTTAGGCCACGCCCAACGCTGTTAGGCCACACCTAATCAATGTGCTCTCATGTAGTTACACATGTTTAGTCTTAATATTTGCACCATTTTGTAATATTTTGGAGTTATTTTATTCAAAACAAGCACTGTTGGAAATGAAAGTTCTCTCAGCAACATAATCTTAATCTTGGTTGGACTGTATAAAGTAGATCTGCTCTCCTATTTGCTGCAATCATAAATCAATAACTAAAACAACACCTTTGATCTCATGTCGAGTGTATTTATTGCATATTTCTTGCTTTAGCACAAAATCAAACTTAGACTTTAGTCCAATCAGTCCACAGCACCAAGGTCAGCCTCAATTGTGACAGATTTTCTTATGATGCTGCTTTCAGACCCATACTTCTAAATATGAAGGTTTTTGTTTTGTTGTTCCAGGTATCATTCAGCACATATGACATATATTGTTTAAATTATCACAACGAGCAATTTCAGGTTCAATAAACATTCATTTTACCCAAATGATTTTGTTCGTAATGTAGCAAAGACTGAAGTTGTGAATTAAGTTTGCAATAATTTTACAACACTGGCAAAAAACAAAAAGACGTTCACTATATGATTACTCGGGTGAGTTACTGAGGTCTTGTGATTGGTTATCGTACCCAAATCCTTTTAGAAGCAGCCATCTTGGCCAGAGTCTGAGCAGCTGTTCTGAAGCTGCTGTGTAAATGAAAGTGAAAAGACAAAGTTCCTATTGGCACAGGGACAGTAAAACCACTTTAATACAATCATGATTTAAATCAAATAAAAACAAACAAACAAAAAGCTAAAAGTTGGCTAAACGTTGGCTACTGCTGTGCATAGACAGGTTCCAGGATGTAAACATCTCAGTCCAGAGCATTAAACAGATACTGTGCTGGTTTATTATGGCTGCAAGTTTTTTTAAATGCATCTTACATATATTGGTACATATGCTTCTGGTTTCAGCTGTTTTTTCCTCTCTGGGACAGTAGTGAGAAAATCACCACTACAATAAATTTCAGGTTGGGTGTGATCAATGACTCTGTTACAGAGTCATTGATCACACCCAACCTGAACCAATGTGTCTGTGAGATGACGATGAACGTGTGTCTAAAAGAATGTCGTTTGCATTAAGATCTCCTTAGCAAATATGTAAAGTATACTTCACTGGGAATGAAGGACCTTCAAACACAGGGGTAAGGGCCTTTAAGTGTCAAGAGTAAGATGATGAGCTTCTTGAGGCTTTAATGCTCCTTGCCTAAAGAAATCCTCATTTTGAAAATGAAAAAAGGGAGACGTTTTATTCTTGGCAGCTGTGGTTAAACACAGATGTAAGAGTGCCAAGAACCAAACATCCAAAGGTGCTAATAACAGCAATGTTGGACCAAGACAGCCCAGTTTAACCCAAAATGGACAGCTGAGTCGGACCACTTCAAATGAAACCAAAGAACAAACAGATACGAAGCACAGTCAGTTTATTGATTACAGTGAAACTGATGTTAAATTCTTTTAAATGCTATTTAGCCATCTGGGAAAGTTGTGTTCAGCGTCTCTTAAGTCTTTGCTGAGTAGGGCAGCTCCTTCCTCACTGTTCCTTGTGTCCTCTTGTCCTAACTGACCCCTGTGCTTTGGTTTTGCCTCATCTTTCCCACACAGGTTCCAGTGTCCTCAGTTGCCCGAATACTCCAAGTTAGTTTTCAATCCTCCTGTGTTTTACTAATGTTTCCTTTCATTCCCGCCTGGTGCCCTTTTCTGTTTTACATAGAAGCCTTTAGAAGTAGAGACCTCCCATTTATCACCATCACCTTCTCTTCTCATGACCTGCCCATGTCAGCTATTTTACACCAAGTGGGTTTCATTAGCGCTAAATGTAGACTGTCTGTCTAATTTAATAAAGCAATACATCTACCATTAAGTTAAAATATATACATATATATTTGACCACATCAGTTAAAAATGCTGTATTTTTTGCACCCCAGCCACCTTCCCACTCACCAACTGCTTTATGGGATTTCTTTAACCAATCAGCATGCTAGTTGGTGCTCATCTGCAGCGTGGTTACAGCATGCTGTTGAAGAGCTGCACAGCCAGACATCATCCCTCTGCTCAGCACACAGCACTCTCACTGTCACCTCATATCACTGCGACCAGTTAACACTGAGCCTTCAACATGCATCTGCACTCTGTGTGCGCACACATTTCTGTGCATGTGTGTCTGTGATGGACGGCACTCACCACTCTCGCTGTCTCTGCAGGGATGAGGGAACATCCTCCCATCGCTGTTTGTGACCTGGCCGACCACATTGAGAGACTCAAGGCCAACGATGGTCTGCACTTCTCTCAGGAGTACGAGGTAAATGTCCCTGCTCTTATACACGCCTTTCAAGTAAAGCAATGCACATTTCAGCCACTGTCAGTTATTTCAGATTTTATAAGCTAGTTTTCCGTAGAAAAAGACCTAGATGTGTAATAGGAAAGCCGCAATTACTGTGGTGTACAAGAGTGTGAGAATTGATCCTTCATGGTTCAAAATGGAGAATTAGGTCAGTTGTAAATTGCCAGGTGTATTGCTGCGGACCTGAGTGAATGCAGTGCTGAGTTTTCAGGTTGTTTGGATCAGTTTTTCTGATGTTTTGGCTAAAAGTTGTTTCCTGTTACCAGAGTTTGCACTGCAGTCATTGCTGCACACTCTCGGCTGTGTGTAGAGGGGTTCACATGAACACAAAGACGTGCCCTTTTTTGGCTTTGAACCTAATTTAGCTTAAAAAAATGTTCTAGCTTTTTGAGAAATATATTTTTTCTAACAAAAACAGCTGGATTCAGATGATTTATTTACCTTTTTTTGTTTGCATGTCTGCTTCTTCATACCAGTCTGCTCCTCTGAATAAGCACAATCTAAGCACACACATATTCAGTGAGCGTGTCCTTGCAGTTGTCCTCTTTTTAAAACAGAGCAGTTCTTCTTTGCCTTAATAATTGATTATAAAGTCACTTTAGAATAAGTGGTCACTTACGAATGTTAATCTCGAACTTTCTGGGTTCAAATTTTATGAGCAGCTTCTTCATCCTTCAGCCATCTTTAACTTGTTTTCTCTCGAGCACTTGAATACTCTCAACCTCTCCTGTGGTGAAAGTCATCGTCTCTTTCCACCTTGATGACAGCCCTGCAGCTTCTCTCTCTTTTGTCTGGTTTGACGCCTCGTACTAACATGCTGCTCCAGCTACACCTGCATAGAACAATATTAGCTCAAAGGGAGCTTTGTGTGGGAGGTGCCAATTATGAGCTTAAAATAAGTCAGTGCTTTTTAAAGACAATAAATAAGTGAATTTCCTTATACTAGTCAACACTATAGATCAGTTGTTTGTTTTTTAAAAACTGAGCTGATATCAGCCTGAATAAGATACAGTGGCATAATATCTTTAGCCCCTCTTGAAGAAGTGAAGAGAAAATAATCTCCTTTGCTGACTCAAAACTTTCTTTTTCTTGATTTTTAGCCATCTTTAAACCTACTGTTTGTTTCACTCAGTCCACGTTTAAACATACATATTTACACAAACGCATCTGTAAAATCAGCATTTTATTTTGTAACTAAAATACCTCACACAGCACATTTTCCAAGAACCATTTTGCCCCCTGAGATGTTTTCATTTGTGTTGGCCGAGCATTACAGAGTTAAAGTTTAGATTAGCCAAAAAAAAGGATGCTGCTAAGTATGCATGACTTCTCTGCTTCCTTTCCAAGAATAATATTCGACTGCTTTTACCTACTGTAAGAGCCAGTGAGGGATTATGGCTTGTTGATGTCCTACAAAGGAAGGTAATTTGCATTTAAAGTGGCGAATTTCCAAGCGGATAAACCAGGACAGATGGGTGCACTGTTTATGCACAGCAGAAGGAAGGGGGCATATAAATTATGAAACAGCAACTGAATCAACTTTTCCACCTTTCCCATTTTTTCTTACCTCTGTGATGCAATGGAGGGAACTTTCTGCAGACAAGTTGTCCTGTTTGCAAAACAAGACGGTTCAGTTCAGATACGAACGTTTTGGTTTGAATGATCTGTTAAATATGATTCTTCAGGAATTATCTACAGATCCCACAGAAATTAATAACACCTTTGTCTCGTATTATAAAACCCTATATAAATCTGACAGCCCACTGGACCTGGTAAGCCAAAATGCTTTCTTGGATAGATTGATCTTTCCCTGTATTTCTGAGGATATGAAAAATGAATTGGAGAGAGAAATAAATTTCAATGACGTTTCTGATGCCATTACGAACATGAGAGGTGGTAAGGCTTCGGGTCCTGACGGGCTTCCGATAGATATTTACAAGCTATTTAAAGCAAAATGAATTCCCCCATTATTAGATGTTTATTTGGAGTCCTATGAAACAGGGCGCCTCCCTGCTACATTTCGTAGTGCCCTGATCACTCTCATTCTAAAACCGAGCAAAGCGCCAGCCGAAAGCGGTTCTTACAGACCCATATTGCTGTTAAATTCTGACTCCAAAATCATAGCTAAGGCTTTGGCTATGAGGCTGGAGAGGGCTCTTCCAGCCATTATACACGGAGATCAAAATGGTTTCGTTCAAAATCGCCAGGGGTTCCACAACGTGAGGAGAGTTCTCAATATAATCCACGAATGTGAAGAGTCACCTGATACTGCAATACTATCACTCGACGCGGAGAAGGCGTTCGATCGAGTTGAATGGCCCTATCTAATTGAGGTGCTTAAGCGTTTTGGATTTGGTGATCACTTCCGCCGATGGATTGAAATTTTACTTGCTGATTCGGTTGCAATGGTATCTACCAATAATCTCATCTCTAGTCCTTTTGAGCTATCTCGAGGCACCAGGCAAGGGTCTCCGATTTCACCTCTGCTTTTTGTACTAGCCATGGAACCTTTAGCGATAGCAATTAGATCACATCCCTCGATCCATGGTATTAAAATCGGGGAGATGCTACACAAAATTGCAATGTACGCTGACGATACTGTTGTGTTTCTATCACACCTTGCAGAATCAATACCATCTCTCCTGAAGCTATTCGATCAATTTAGCAGTTTCTCTGGGTTCAAAGTGAACGAAGAAAAATCATCCATTATGTTTTTAAATATGAACGAGAGGTTGAAACCAGTTGTATCCCACCCATTTGTGAATGCCGCAGAGGGATTTAAATATTTAGGCATCAGAGTAACCCCAACGATAAGCAATCTTAGTTCAGCCAATTATGAGCCCTTGGTGGTAGGGTTGTCGGATGAGATCACTAGATTAATATCATTGCCTCTTTCTTTACTGGGAAGAATAAACATAGTAAAGATGACTATATTACCTAAATTCCTATATATCTTTCAGTCAATTCCGCTGGCCCCTCCTCCTTCTTTTTTTTCCAAGACCAGAAAGCTTCTTTCTAATTTCATCTGGAACAATAGGAAGCCAAGACTCAGACTCTCCCTCTTGTATTTACCATATGATAGGGGAGGACTACAGTTTCCAAATTTAAAATGGTACTATTGGGCTGCTCAGCTGAGGACCACTATGTTTTGGTTTTCAAACGATATTTCCCTTCCCTGGTTAGCAACTGAAAGAATGTCCTCAAAGGGTCTGTCGTTAAATAGCTATTTATACTCAGCACCCTTTAAAACTTTAAAGAAAATTACTACTAATCCCTTTGTAAAAAACACTGTTGTTGTTTGGCATGAAGTACAAAAAATGTTGAATGACTCTCCTGGGTTGTCCTGTTTCTCCCCAATTTGGGGTAATGAACTCTTTGCCCCGGCTAAGAATGACATGGGCTTTAAAGCTTGGCTGAACAAGGGCATTGCGAAACTACAGGACGTATATGAGGAATATTCTCTAATGTCATTCAGTGAATTAAGGGCAAAGTTTGATTTACCGCAGAAACACTTTTTTAAGTATCTGCAACTTAGAAGTTTTATTCTGGCACACTTAAACAATTCAGTGCACCAACCCCCACTCTCCATCCTAGAAACTCATGTTACAAAAAACTGTTTTGGTAAAAGACTGGTGTCCCAGTTTTATAGCCTGTTAGTTGAAAACCATAAGGATAACTCTGATAGTAAAAGACGGGAGTGGATTAGTGACTTACAAGAAGATATTTCATATACTGAATGGGGTAAAATATGTTCAAAAACACACACTCAAACCATTAACACTCGTTTGAGAATGATACAATTTAATTGGATAATGCGAACATACATATCCCCTGTACAATTAAATAAATTTGATCCTACTATAATTGATCTATGCTATAAGTGTAATAGGCATCAGGGTACACTATATCACTGCCTGTGGAAATGTGAAGAGATCCAAAAATTTTGGAGCTCTGTGTTAAAATATATCTCTCAGATCACAACTTCTCCTGTACCGCTTTGCCCTAAGTTATGCATTTTAGGCTTGTATCCAGATGACTGTCCTCTGTCGTGTGAGGAAAGAAGAATGGTCGATCTTTGTTTGCTACAGGCCAAACGCTGTATCGCCTTATGCTGGAAGAATGTTGGATGCCCCTCTTTTAACCACTGGTTAAATAACTTAACATCGAGTTTAGCTCTTGAGAAACTGACCTATATTGTTAGAAAGAAGGCTTCTGAATTTTACAACATCTGGAAGATATTTTTGGATCTACTGAGGAGTGGGGATGTGGGGGGGCGGTGAGTGAATAAGACAACTAGATAATGAATAATGTCTGACTTGCTGTTGGGAATATACTGTGTAACCTATATTGTGATTTTTTTATTTTAATTGTATTTATTTGTATGGTTTGCTATCTTAATTTATTTAACTATGCATTTATTTGGAATCTTTTAGGATTAACACTTCAATTATCGTTATTACTATTAATATTAATATTATTATTATTAGTATTAGTGTTGTTATCATTATTATTTTAATGACTGCCATACGTTCATTTTATGTTGGTGTTGATACTGTTGAAAAAACAAATAAACATACGTTTAAAAAAAAGATTCTTCAGATGGAGAAAAGGAAATGCACAAAACTAGGTTTAGATGTCTTTGAAAAGTAAATTTGATTTCTGATCACAAAAGTGTAAACTGTTAAAAAACAATATCATTGTTATTGTTATGACAGCAAGCTGCTATCTACATACTTTCTAGGGTATGTGAACAGCTGTATCGCTTCAACTATCTTGAATTTGGGGTTCGAGAGAGACTTTTTTAGACATGTTCTTGTTTAGAAGATCATTAAAATGTCAGGTGGTCTTATCCATAAACCATACTGTGGATGAAACATGGATTTAGCGATCGTGACTCATCCACTGGTTCAGATGTTGAAAACTTAGCTTGCTTAACACCGACGCCACTCTGTTGTTAC